TGCATGAGCTCACTAGAGGACCAGGAAGCAACTTACTTCTTTTTGGATGTGTTGCACCATCTTTGCTCGGATCTGTCGAACCTTTGAAGCCTTAGCATAGGTGGTTTTCTTGGCTTGATTTGGTTGACGTTTGGTGAATCCGATGCAAAAGACACGGAGAAGATAACCGTCAGTTGTCTTCACGGCAACGTTCGCCTCGACCATTGTCTAAATGTAGAAAATTAAAGTGGCAAAGAATGCAGAAAACAATATTGTTTGTGTACCACGCCTTCGATTCTATTAATCTATCGAATTAAACTGAAATAAAAAACCGTACATGCCACTTCTTGACGATGGAGCACATCTTATCGCGGGTGAAGCTCATTCCGTGGAAGTTGGTCAAGCAGTTCTTTCCTTGCACATCCTCGCAGATGAGACGGAACTTGCGGAAGTCGGACTCAGAGCTGTTGAGATCACCGAGCGACACCTCATATACACGGCCCTATAAAGAAAAAGATTATTTGTTTAAGTTTGTTAAAAAACTAACATTAGTGGCTCTAGTTTTTTTGCCTAGTACTTGTGCACTAAACAAATACAAATGTGCATAGCACCCGGAAACTACCCGTGAAAAAAGCTATGAAACTAGTGGATAACTAACAACCAACTTTAAATGTTGAAGAGCAAAGCCTGTTACCTTCAATCCATCAGCGGCAATCTTTGTTCCGACAGTCTTGTTGACAAGGGTCTTTCCGATTTGTCGTTGCGAGAACATCGTTGGGGCCTTCACATCGTACCACTCCTTGCGGGTGAATGGGTCGACCACCTTCTTCTTGGCTCCCTTCTTGCCCATCTTTTTGCTTTTACCGACGGCCATTTTGACGTGTTACCCTGAATCATATAAAATTAAAGACTGACAAATAAGAAATAAGCAAATCGATAAAACATTAGATTGCAAAAAATTCGACCTACAAGTTCAGGGGTACTGGATTTTAAACTTTCAAATCTAGTGCCATTTCTCAAAAAGGTTTTGTGCGCATTGCGCAACAAGAACAACTTCCAAAAGTTCTAATTCATGTACAAAAAGTCCGAAGCAAATTTTAAAGGTCAGGGAGATTTATATCAGGCGCAATGACAGTATGAGGAACACCAAATGAGCAAAATACTAACGCAAAGTGGCAAACTAGACCAGAAAATTTCAATTCGACTTGAAAAAAGTTTACAACGTTAAAAAAAAGTTTCATTTAACAAAAGAGACGCATTGGTAAAATAAAAATGAAAATTTTAGGCGATTTGATGTTTTTCCGTTCAGCAACCCTTTTGACGGACTTTCCGTCGGGATACGGTAGCGGAGCGCGAAATAAAGTCATGGTCTAGTGGAAAGCTGGTATTTTCAAAAATTCAAGTCAAAAACCTCGCTTTTTCGCTTAGAAATTAAAATTCGATAAACTTTTGCAACTTTCAACTGCCTGTGAGTTTTGTTGAAGTGTTTACTTCGTTAAACAAGCATTTATTCGCATAAAAAGCCTAAAATCAAAACAACAATCGTCAAATAAAACCTACAATCAAGTGCTTTTACAAGTCTTTTTAGCACTCAATTTTCGAAAAAGTTTCATCAACTTTCTTTGATAAAGTTCATGGCGCTCTTTAAGCCATTAATAGTTTCAGTTACACAAATATATGTACAATTTATTTACACAAACGCTGCCGATATACAAAACTTATTCATCGAGAAAAAAATATAATTGTCAAAACACCCCGGAAAATCGTGGTGCAAAAGTCTTTTAAGAAAGACGAAATTAAGCTTTGATCAATATTTAGTCGCTCCTAGTTTTGCCAAAAGTACTTCTTTAATACGAGTAGGCATCGATGCAATTAACTTATCAAGAGTTCCAGGTCCAATCGTCCTCCAAATTTTTCTGATGTAAAACCATAGCTCGACTTTAAAATTGAATCGTTTTCCTCGCAATTTCAATTTTAAATAGGCCCATAGGTTCTCGATAACATTTAAATCCGGTGAAAATAGTGAAGATTTGAACAAAGAAACGTGATTGATCCCAAACCATCCCGTTAAATGTGCTTTTCCTTCATTCGGGAGAGTCGCAAAAGTCTCATGGTGGTGGTGGCCATGGTGGCTCAGAAATTTCATGAATTGGGAGTCATGAAATCGGGAAAAAGTGAAAAAATTTCAAAAATCTCCCCGCCCAAAATATTCACTTTGGCACCACAACAACCTCCAAGAGCCACTAGAAATTCTGAGAAAAATCGAGCTGAACTGACTTTTTTGAACACCGCGACTAAATATTGATTAAAGCTTAATTTCGTTTTTTGTGAAAAGACTTTTGCACCACGATTTTCAGAGGGGTGTTTTGACAATTCTATTTTTTTCTCAATGAATAAGTGTTGTAGAGCGATAACGTTTGTGTAAATAAATTGTGTAATATATTTGTGTAACTAAAACTATTAATGGCTTAAAGAGCGCCATGAACTTTATCAAAGAAAATCGACGAAACTTTTTGGAAAATTGAGTGTTAAAAGACGTAGCACATGACGTGAATACAAAAACAATCCGGTTAATTCTAATTATTAGGCTTGATTCGATTTAGAAATGGTTCTTTTTCGGATCCCAATTTCCCTCCAAAACATCCGATTCCACGAAAATGCGCTTCTTGAAGATTTGCTTCGTTTGGCTTGATTGATAATCTAAACTTGAGGTGTAAGCGGCTATAAAATAACAGATTTTACCTGGAAAGTGTGTGAGCCGAGAATTTGGGGACAATCGGTGAGAGAAGTATTGCAGTGATTCGAAGTGTTTCATACGAAACAGCAAGCACTGTTAAAATCTAAAGCAAAAATCATAATTGAACTTTGGTTCTAACTATTTCAGCCCACCTCTTCCTGATCACTCAATTTCCACGGTTGAGCCTCTTGAAAGAAAGCGTTCGTCTTGCGGACAATGTTTAGTAAAATCTCGATTCCCCGATAAAAATAAAGCTCATCGTAATGGGTTCGTACACGATCTAAACATAACTTTAAAACATTTTGCGTGTTTTACCAACTAGAAAGTGTGCCCAAATCATTGATAAGCTCTTTCGCCAGTTGTGCACAGTTTGAGGGAACTTTCTTTGCGTCAAAAATCGGATAGACTTGTGCTGGGTTCAATTTTGGTATTGTACCTAAACTTATTCATTTAGCAAAGAAGTTGAAGAAAAAGTTAGCAACTCACTCCGCTGTAACAGATTCCCGATCGTGTTCACCAAATCGCTGTTGATCAACTCGATCGCTTTCAACTTCATGAAATCTATGTTAGATTTTAGTCTATTCGCAATAAGAAAAAAACCTACTGCAATCATCCGTAGGCACGCCTTGTTTCAGCAGAAAATACCGCAGTCCATCATTTGAAAGCAAACCGGCAATTTCCATTGGATCCACCACATTGCCAAGGCTTTTCGACATCTAGGGAACTGTAAAGTATGTTTCCGAAGTGAGACAAACCTTGACATTGTTGACAAGCCAATGTCCATGCACGAATAATCGTTCCGGTAGCGGTAAATTGAGGGCTTGTAGAAAAGCGAACCAATAAGCCGTGTGAAATCTAAAATCATCTGTTTAAGAAAAAGAGTTTTAAATGGCTTCACCGTAAAATATCCTTTCCAATGATCTGACAAGTTGGTGCTGGGAATTGCATTTTGTCTGGAAACCCATTCACCGTCAAATAGTTAATTAGCGCATCAAGCCAAACGTAAACCTAAAAAAAACTAATGAATCATCTAATGAGTTTTTATAGCAAAACTTACTCTTTGTGATGGATCATCAGGCACAGGAATCCCCCATTTCAATCGAGTCGAATCTCTCGAAACGGACAAATCCCCACAAGCGTCCAGTTCACGAATCGCTAGCGGCTTGAAATGGGTCGGCGTAATCACTTCTAAAGTAACAAATTCAATTTAACAATTTCAATCTTTTTACCAGTCGATTCCAAGATTTTCTTTGTCTTCTCCTTGAAATCACTCAATCGAAACATGTAATTCTCCTCATCGACCCATTCCACCGGATTTCGGGTTTCTTTTGCCACCTGAAAATATATTAAAGTAAAAATTGAATCTAAAGCTCACGCTCGACTCTTTTCCATCCAATGATCGAATCTTTTCAACTTCCGAATCCTTGTAGAAACACTCGTCGATCACACTGTACCATCCACTGTACTTTCCCTTGTAGAGGTGACCGGCTTTTGATAAACGAGCCTAAACAATTTTAATTCTATAATTTCACCGTTAAACACGCACCCAAAACTCTCTGACAGCTCTTTTGTGTCGTTCCTCAGTCGTTCTAATATAATCGGTGTAAGAGATGTCGAAAGCTTCAAAAAGTGCCCGAAATTGTGCCGTCACTTTGTCGCAATGCTCAATTGGAGTAAGGGATGCAGAAGTGGCAGCTCGTTCAATCTAAAATAGTAAATCTTAAATTGATTGTGTGATCTAGCTCACATCAAAATTACCTTTGATCCATGTTCATCGGTGCCGGTCGTGAATTGATGCAATTCGTTTGGTGCTTTCAGAATTTCCCATCGATGAGCGGCGTCGGCGATTACCGCACTGTACAAATGACCGATGTGAGGAGCTAAAAACTCAAATAATCTCATGAATAACTTCTAAATGGCTTAATTACCCGAATTCGCATAAAATATTGGTGTCGTGATGAAAGAATGCCGAAATCTTCGTTGCCAAATTATTGAGCGTATGCTCCGACAAATCGTCATCTGCAAATTTGATCACTCAATCCTCATTCTAACAAATTCTTGGGAACTTTCGGGTACTTTGTCGTTTCATAACAATGCATCTTTATCTCAATTACAAAATTGAACCGTTTATTTACAAAAAAGACCTTTTATAGCTTCAAAAATAAAATTACGAAATTCAAAATAGCACAAAAAAAGAGATCAAATAGATGACAAAATTTCAAAAAAGATCTATCACATACGCATCAATAACATATAAACTACACAAATTGCGTTTATTTTTTTAGTCTTCAAAACTTGGCTCGTCATCCTCATCGATAACCATGTCCGCGGTGGAACTAAAAGGAACAAATAAACTTTCTACAGAATGATAAATTCTTTTTAGACTTTTGACTTCATTAAACTAAATGTCCTTCTTCACAAAACTCACAGATTATGCTGAACAGCTGGTGTTGACGGTTGTGAGGTGCTAGCTCGGAGTTGCTCGGCTTTCATCTGATTCGCATCGATCATCAGATTACGACCCTCATCTCTTGTCTAAATGGTCAAGGATTGAACGCATCTACTGTTCAAAGCTAGATATTATTTATGAAGCTCACCATTTCATAATCGAGACACTGCATCGCGTAGCCATACGAAAGATCGAACTTCTTCTTCCTCAAAAAGAAACGCGCCAAGTAGATGGCTGCTGTGGCCAGGTTTTGTTCGGGAGCAACCTAATTTGAAAACTGATTAGTTCACGAACTCTTCAAGCCAACCTTTACATACAAGACGAGGTACTTCTGGAATGCTTGCACGGCTCGATTTGAATCCTCCAATTTATCGTAGATTTTCCCTAACGCTAACAGAGCCGTTCCCTCAACATCGCCCACTTGAAAAGCTTTGAGGAAGCATTTCTTCGCATCGTCGATCTAAATTTTAGTTTGTAACCATGAAGCAACGAATTGTTAACCTTGTTCAATTTTAAGTACGACTCCGCCAATCCAATCAACATTCTCGAATCCATAGGTCTAAAAAGGAGTATTGAAATAATGCAAAAGAAAAATTACCGTAGATTGTAAGCCAGTAGATAGTAGCGATGACTGTAGGCGTGCATCTTCAAAATGTCGTACATTGTCGCCAATCCATAATATGGAGCTGGGTCATCTGGTGAAATTGCTAAAAAGCATATCTAACTTGATGGTGTAATGAATATTTTAGTAACTCACTTGAAGCCTTCCGATAAGCGATACACGCAGCCGAGTGATTTTTCATTTCCATGTACTCGTGCCCAATCAGAGTCCAACAACTAAAGGATTTTGTTAGGGTTGTTCACTCACAGGCTACTGTATTGCAGCAATGTATCTACTTTTTGATAAATTTTTCTAAAACTCGCCGTGCATTGTATGGATTCAATCGAAGTGCCCGCTCGAAGAATTTGATTGCCGCTAAGTGCTCGCCTCGAATCGCATAGTAGTTGCCTAAAAAAAATGGCTTCATTCGCTGTCTGTGATCATTATTGCTAGTGATATCACTAACCAGCCACCAAAAGAAGCTTACCCAACATCACACAGGTTTCCCATTTGAAGCGATGCGTCGCCAAAAAACGATAGGCTAACTTGTAGAGATCGGCTTTGTTATTCTAAGATATCGTAAAATTTTCAAAACAATAAGATTCACAAACCATCAGAAAAAGTGTGTTCGAGTATTGTTCCATTCCTTCGATTCGCAGTGGATCAATCTGGGCAATGTTTCGAAATTGTTCACAGGCTTCAGTGTTTTCTAAAAAGACTTTTGAAACGATGCTTTCTTGGCATTGTTAAGTTAAGAATTACCATAAATCTCATGAAATGATATTGCCATTTGAACGAGAAGTGCTGGTTGAGCTTTCAAACCGCCCATTATAAGCCTAAATTTTTGATTTAAAGACCCAAACTTTTTATTCTCTTACCTCCTTGCTGCTTGTATACTTTCAAGGTGTTGATTCAATTTGGCGAGCGCAAAAACTTCATAAACATGCTAAATTAACAAAGATCTTAGTAGTTGAAGTGTTTAACTTTACCTGTAACCAATGTGTGCTGGTTGATTCCAAGAATTGTCCGATCACGTCTCTCAGTTGTTTCTCGTTGCGACTGTGTTGAAGAATCGACTCGTAAGCGGGCCAGAATCT